GTATTCTGTATCCTTGTCTTTTTTTGAGGATCTTGGAGATTTTTTGTTCAGTCGAAAATGTAGGGTCTCTCTGCAGTTTTGTATAAGTTCCATCACTCATTAGGTTGTTCAGCTTGTGAGTGTACTCCTCTTTGCTTATGACAACAGTGGCATTTATTTTGTCAGCTGGGTGTATGATGACTGTGTTCTCATTCTTGAACGTCTTGATAGGTGCTTGCTCTTCTTTGGACAGATTCACCTTTGAAGATTTCGCCTCCTTTAGTGCTTGTCTGACTTTCCAGTGTAGCTCCTCCCCAACCATATTGCTGTATCTTCTATGGATGCTACTATGTCAAGGTGGTTGATTCATTTGGTGGTGGTTGCGAAGTTCAGCCCTTTGTTGAGTACTGCCTCTTCATACAATGTCAGTTGTCTGTCACTTAGGTTTTCCTTTATTGGTTGGTATTTTGGCTTGGTGGTTGCTCGGCTCATGAGTTTTTCCAGTTTTTGTATGTGGTTTTTTTCTTCACCATATGGTCTTCCTTCAGGTATGATCATATGACGGCGTTGAGTATGTGATCAAGATCTGCATCTCATATACTCTCTTACTCCAACGATGGAAGCCAGTCCATTATTAGAGCACGACTTGCCTACTCTTCTGTCTAAGTCACTCGGTCTTGATCGGGACCTTTATTATTAGTCCTGTTCGGACAATGTTGTTGCTCTGCATCGACATAGGAAAACGAGGTAATTCTTTACACCTGCTAGCTTGATGTTCAGATTTTCAGATTTTCATACCGATCTGATATAGGCTTGTGGAATGATTGAGACGAGGTGTCAGTATTACTAATGGTATAATTATTCAGACTATTATTCTTGTCTTTATTATGTGTATTTTTTTCAGAAGATTTTGACCAGTGAATTCTCCAGCCATCGTAAGGTGTTATATCAGACATCCGGGGCAAGATAGACAAGTCTGACATAGCAGAACATGCACGGTCTGATAGAGAACACAGACCAGCATGGAACGAAGTCACTATCATTGACACATTGGAAAATACGGAAGATCAAAGAAGAGGCACACATAGTGTTGACTACTAATCCCATCAGTAGCCTTGACAACTAATACCATCAGTAGCCTTGACTACTAATCCCATCAATAAGCCAAATGTAGACAAATAGCCCGATATGGCTCCCAGTATTACGAAAACATTGGGACAAAAAATACTAGAAATAAAAGTATAGAGGTACTTTCAAAATACTTCAAAGTGTCCTCCTGATAGCCAAGTGGTTAAAGTGTCTGTATTCAGGATCATACGTTCGAATCCCGGTAATTCCACAAACATCTTTCTGGTTGTGACGCATATAAAATGTCTGCCATAACACCTGAAGACGGCCGGAGAATCCACTGATTGAAACGTTGTGAAACTAATAAGGCATAATATAAAAACGATAATAATAGTCAGAATAATTATACCATTAGTAATACTAACACCTCTTCTCAATAATTCCACAAAACTATATACCCCAAGCTTGCATTTACCTGTTTTTGCTTCTAAGCTTACTATACTCAACCAGTCTAGTACTTAGGTGTTCATCCCAATTACGAATTTAAACTTCATGAAATTTCCATAATTCAGCCACCCAGATTTCGAAAATAATGTTACTTTTTTTCTATCACGTAAGGATTTTTGTACAAATTGGGAAGAAAAAAACCTCCTAGTTAGATCAAATTAGTATTTCGTTTACCACAATGAACATTTTATATTATTATCTTTGTGTTCTAGAACGATCGATACGTCAGCGTACAGGAATTACTGTAGAACACCTAAATATTTCAATACAATAAAACCATCGTAAGCCTGTGTTATTAGTGTGTAAATTATTAGTTGTGATAATAATAATACACATAATAAAGACGAGAATAACAGCCCGAATAGTTACCCCATTAGTAAGCTTGGGGAAGACTGCATAGAGTACTTAGGTCACAGGGTGGTTAAAGGATTGATTGTCTCTGTAGAGGTAAAGGTAAAAGCTACTGAAGTTTGGAAGAAACCTAAGACAAAGAAATGAGTAAGATATTTTCTTGGGATGGCAGGTCATTGCAGGAAGTTTATTCCCGGGTTTGCGGAAATAAGAGCTTCCACCCCCTGACAGCATTAACCTGCAAATCAGGACCAAAACTTGTTGTGTGGGATTAGGCCAATTAAAATAAGCACCGTGTAAAAAAACAACAAACAAAACAATTATACATAGCTATAAGGAGACAATAGTCATCATTGTACAGAACATCCAATAGCGTATTTAGGCCTAAAATTACTAGCAAACAAGAAAGCTCTAATCACCACTGGAAAAGGGTGCTTGGCAATGATGTAGTGGCTTAACAAATTAAGGCCTTTTTTCTTAGTTTTTGGTTTTCCTGGAAACAGACCACAACCCTTTAATCTGGTTGCACAGAATGGAAACTGCTGCAATGGAGTCTGTGACAGGAGTTTAATTTTACAGTACAGTGAGTGGTCATCGAAATGTAGACTTCCTCTAGCGCTTGAGTTACCAAATTCAGCTTGTGACCTCTCTCTGATTAAAATGAACATATCTTAAGATACATTCAGATAGGGTTAGAACGGATGTTGTGTGTGAAAGTCTGGTTGTGCAAACGAATATAAGAATAAGAGATTGTGAGCTTACTGGTTCGAACCTTGAATAGTTAAGGTGGAACGGAAGAGATGGAGGGCATTTCCTGATTAAATGTTGTAGTGATATATATATATATGAAAAAAAACTGTGAACTTTTTAAATGTTGCAGTGGTATCAATATAAAGCTGTGAAGTTTATAAAATATCTAGACGAAGACTGTGAACTGCCATGTTCTATATACAAAAGCAGTGTAACTATTATTGTTCCACTAAAGATTGTGAGCATTGATGAAGAGCGTGATGATATTCCGGAATATCAGAGCCTGGGATAACATCAAGATTAGAAAAAAAAACATAACCGAAGTTGAATATATTCTGTAAGAGGGGGGAAAGATGCGATATGAAGTCAGGTTTCAGGACATCAGTTAAAGTTGAGAGAGGTGAGAAAGTGGCCGGTCTTTGGTCAATCTCGAAGAAATTAAGGGATTGCAGTACTCTAACTCGTTTGAAAATTACTGGAGAGAGCGGCCACCTACTTAAGTTCAGCTGTTATGGAAACTGCAAGACCGCCTATAATTATGAATCGTTTTAATCTGATATACGGGAAACAGGTGAAAGGTCAGGAAGAAAGGGATCGGTTCGGCGTGGGTTTGAGAAATGAATGTGAAAAACAGAAGTTCTACGAAAAGAGAAGACTGGGTAGAGAGGAAGAGGCCGAGAGATGTGAGAGAGAACGAGTAAACCGAGAGAGTCAAAGGAAGAAAGTAATATGCTGCCAGTAAGAAAAAACGTATTTCTAAGTCTGTGTGTTCTTGATCACCAGTAATAAACATGCGAGAATAGCATGATCATAATAGTAACGATATTGATAATCTAATTAAAGTAACCGATTGTTTGTTTGTTTGTTTTGAATTTCGCGCAAAGCTACATGAGGGCTATCAGCGCTAGCCGTCCCTAATTTAGCAGTGTAAGACTAGAGGGAAGGCAGCTAGTCATCACCACCCACCGCTAACTCTTGGGCTACTCTTTTACCAACGAATAGTGGGATTGACCGTTACATTATAACGCCCCCACGGCTGAAAGGGCGAGCATGTTTGGTGTGACGGGTGTTCGAACCCGCGACCCTCAGATTGCAAGCGAGTGTCCTAACCACTTGGCCATGCCGAGCCTAAAGTAACCAAATTATATGTAACAAAAATAATTACTAAACATACCAAGAGCTGTGTCTGACAGAACTACTCTGAATATATAATTGTGCTAATTTTAGGAATTTTGCAAATACGAAAGCTTGATATCAATAGAATATATGACTTTGATAATGTTTAGATACCTTGTTAATATAAAATATTAATGTCTACAGAATATAGGATTTGGCTAATGTTTAGATACTTTGATCTTAACAGAATAAATTATTTGGCTAGTGTTTAGAAACCTTGATGTCAACAGAATATACGATTTAGCTAATATTTAGAAACCTTGTTAATACGAAATCTTGATGTCAACAAAATATGATTTAGCTAATATTTATAAACCTTGTTAATACGAAACCTTGATGTGAACAGAATGTATGATTTAGCTAATATTTAGCAACCTTGTTAACACGAAACCTTGATGTGAACAGAATGTAGGATTTTACTAATGTTTTGCCTGAGCCAAAAGTGTTTGTTAAAGATCTTATATCAACATTTGAAACAGTGAATGCGTTAGAGGGTTAGATTAAGAAGTTATAAGCAAAATGCTCGCGCTGTTTACTTGAAACTTCGCATTATTTTTCACACGGTTAGATACACATAAAATTATGAGTATTATTTATTGGCACCTAGGTAGTTTTAAGTTGTGTGTTACTTATTATTTCAACATAAAAAGGAGAAAGAATAAAGTTTAATTTATATTTATGACATTAAAAACACATGACTAATGAAGACAAGTGCGTTTCGTTTTTGGAAACTGTGTAGGACAACTTACCTTTCTCGAACATTCGAAATATAAATAGATAAAGAACAACAGTGTTATTTTGCCAATACCTTTACAATTTTAGGGCGTCATAAAACCTAACAATAAAATTATAGTGTCGCCCGACTTTTTATAAAACAATACTTCTATATTGTTAATTGTAACATTCAAATTGCAAAACGGGCTCATTTGATTATTTTTTATCGTTGTTTTAAGAATCGTTAAAAGTATTTTTACAAACACTCTTATTCTTGTATGAGACTTGTAAACTGCTGGTAGGACTCCTAGCGGTGGAGACAAATCAGCATATTTTATCACAGATGAACACCAAAACCTTGATGTATTGAACACTACAATGATTTGTTTCAACAAACAGATGCCCTTGCCATAGGATCACCACTCTCGCCAGTTTCAGAAAACTAATTCATGAAGCTTTTGAACCAAGAGTCCCCTTCTCTAGCGACAAGAAAACCATATTTTACAGACACGGTGTTGACGATATATTGGTTATCTGGCACCATTATCATGAACAACTTACTAGACTTCTTACAACACGTTAACTCCACACACAACATAATTCACTTCACTGCCGTTCCTTGATGTTTTCATCAGCACACAGAATGACAAACCCACTACAACCATACATAGGAAAACAACTCATGCTGATATAGAAACTTACATTTCCATTCTCACCATCCACTTTCTGTTAAAAACAGTATTTTTAAGTGCTTGAATGACAGAGTTGTAAACATCTGCAACAGAAACTCCATCAAAACCTAACACCAACACTTTGAGACTAATAATGGCTGGAGACGGCTTGAATGGGTA